AGGCTATGAGCATACTACGTCAAAGGTTTGGAAGAACTTCGATGATTGTAGGGAAATTATTCGAGGCTGTTAAGGGTAATGGTGGTCAACTACAAGATGACTCCAAGGCACTTACTGAGTTTTTGGATAATCTGTTGATTTACAAGAATGCATTGGTTTCGATGAATTGCATGAGTGATCTCAACTCGAACTCAGTCCTAGAAGTAATAGCGAGACGCCTACCTACTCGACTGCAAAGGAAGTGGGTGAAGATAAACTCCCGTATGGAGGATGAGGGTATCGAGCCAAAGTTCGATGACATTCTGAAACTGGTAAACAATAGTGTCAATCAGTCTATGAGCAAGTTTGCCAGTATATTGAATCTCACCCCTAGAATAGAGCAGTCTGTGGGAAAAACGCAATCATTGATGACGAATAGGCCTCAGAGAGGTGGATATCGAGAAGGCTCCATGATGTCTAGTAATGCATATAGACCTAGTGAGTGTAACAGGCTTCGTGGTACATCCTCAACAGATAGGTTACAAGATGCAAGGCAAACACGGTTGTGTTTTACACGTTTGCAAGAAGTGCATACGAAGGTGAACTGTGAATCAGTGAGCAAGCTCAATGATAAGCTAAATGTGAAATCAAGGTCTGAATCCGAATTGTGTGACGATAACGGTGCGGTGAAGAAGCCTGTAGTTGCAACTGGTAAGCCATTGTTGAATAGAGTGTCACAGAATAGAGTTACTGCTTTAGAGTGCAGTTCTGACTCCGCAAGTTCGCAGGGTATTACTAGAGAGAGTGAAGGTATAAAATCTTTAGGTATTTGTGAGGAAGAACCCAAATCATCCACTTCTGTTATTAAAGAGTTTGAAAATGATGAAGTCGACCAGATAGATGATGGTAAATTGAATATTTGTGATAATGATCATGATAGTGCAGATTTGTCTTTGGTTGATTGTGATGAAATGAGGGGAATACCTACTACTGCTAAGTTGAACAAAGGTTCTGTACAACTACAACGGGAAGTAGAATTGAATGCAGATGCAGTTGCAGAAGGTAGGGATACTTGTGAGACTGTCAGTGTAATTGATCAGCGTGTAGCCCAGCTATCATCAGATGCTAGTGCTAAACCCGAACTAGTAGTGAAAGACAGCTGTGGTGGTAATCTTGCAGTTAGACAATTTTATGAAAGCCGAACAACAACAGCTTCTGATCCACCGCTAAGTTCATCAACTGGTATCAATCAGTTGTCGCTGGTGTTGTCATCTGCAATGAGAAGGACGCCCATCAACTCAAGTGTCTTGTAGAATGACCATAACAGTATTGGTGCATTTGGAAAGACGAAAGATATTGCTCAGTTTAGTGAGGATAAGTCAAGTGTAAACGAGAGAGTAATTGTTAAATTGACTTACATGAATAAAGCATTTCTAGTTTCAAGTTACTATTTGAGTGCTATTATCTTTGGTGTAAATTACTCTGTACCCGAGCTTGGTTGATCAGATACGTCGTGTGTTTGTTCGTCATCTATATTCTACGATACAATGACATGGGCGTGTAACCGTTCAGATTTGAGGACATAGCTGATAGAAGGAAGTCAGCAAATGAACTCTGCGACGATTTTCCTACCTAGAGCGTCAACCTGAGAAGGGTTGTAGGCCTAGTGGTGTAAGTCCTACAATTCTTCAAGGGGTAGTGCATCAATAATCAGCCCAACGCGCTTGGTGTGTGATTTTGTACATATGTTCATATTGTATATACTGAATTGATATCATCTGTCATCTAGCCGTTGGTAATTCTGTTTGTGTCCGGACTACTTCCACTTGTATCATCAACCTGAGAAGGAATGTAGGCGTACTGCTGCAAGTCCTACAGTTCTTCAAGGGTAGTTCGTCAAGGCAGAATCCACAACATTTCATGTATTGATTGTGCATATGTTTGTGTCAAATAATTGTGTGAGTTCCAATTATTGTAATTATTGATTAATCTTGTTTGTGTCCGGACGTTCCACAACTTACAATCGTCAACCTGAGAAGGGTTTTAGGGGTACTGGTGTAAGTCCTGCAATCCTTCAAAGGAATTACATCGGGACACGATCGGTGAGGTTATTTGTACTGCTTGTATATACATGTGGAGTGTCATATCATTTGGTGGTTTTGGATTCATTGAGTTTACTTGTTGTTTTCTTATCTTGTTGCTATTGCATAATTTTGTTAAAATTTTCGTCGTGATTACTTCTGAAGTTGTTTCGAGTTTTCCACATCCGTGAATGAATTGATTGATGTTAAAGACAGCAGATGGGTCGTATACACCGGGGAGGATAGGTTAGTGCTGAAAATGACAAGCACACGGAGATAATGATTAGCTGTGGTCCCATACGACGGGGAGCGAGAGTGTGGACGACTGAGGCTCGCATACGTCACTGTTACTAGAACTGAGGTAGAATGAGTGACAAGCGATTTCAGTGGTAATTGGTAGTGAATAGATAAGAGGATGTGTGAAGAGTATCATGAGGTGGTGCTGTGGTCACGTTGCATTCTGCAAGAGTCATTCTAGCAAGTGGCGATTGTGTTACAAGATGTCAAGAGGAGGCCTTTAATTCGAAGGTGTGGGTCGTCATCTATGAGTGAGATTGTGCTGTGAGTATGCTTGTGGTGTGTTGGCTTTTCTGTTTGTTTTCCATTTCAGCTCTGTCCGCGCGACCCAGGTTCTCGCAATGGCATCCAAGTCAACGTGTATTGGTCGTGATGGAAAAAAGGGATGGATTGGTTTTTTCCCGGGGAGTGTCAGTGTAGTTGAAGATTGAACGATCAATTCATGGTTGTTTGCTCAAACCCAACTTCCCCAATTTTCGCGGAGACATCGATACACCAGTCACGTCTCATCGGTAGCTGTTCAGAAAGCACGTAAAATACCGTCAGAAGTAATATCGTGATTTATTATTGTAATATTTGTTCACAGTCCGTAGTTGTAACGTTGTTTATATGTTGGTGTTACATTAAAGAATCCTCGAGTCGCCAATTGGTGTTTTGGATTTTGTGTCCGTTATTACTAAGCGTTTCTGAGAAACTTCAAGGAACAGCGTGAGTCTCAGCGTAGCAAGAGCTGGGCATTAACGGTTTACGAGACATGGCTAACACTTACATAACTCCATATATATTGCTTTGTTTCTATGGGCATCCTGATCAAAACTCACTCATTTAATTATTCATCTTACTTTACTACTACAACATACCTATTCAACTTCTTTTATGCACAGACCCATCTTGACAACCGTTTTTTGACAGCTCATCGCCTCTACCCTCATACTATTTTTGACCGCTCTAGTTAAAATTTGATCATTCGTCACATTCTATGCAATATTTTGATGGCGTAAACAACAACCCTTACCAATTTTTATTCTTGTCTGGCAAGGCTAATGTATACGTGCAAACAAAACCAATTATCGCGATTCTACAGCTAAAGGAATCGATTCACCAGTAAGAGACTTCGCTTAACTACATGTTTTGCTCTTCACTAATCTCTGGATGGGGATTATTCACAAGTCACATGTTTTACCACAGTAAATCACTGGCTGTTGAGACCAATGTATCTGTGAACGAATTATATGCTACGGAATCATGATGGTATAATATTCACAAGTGGCTCACAGTATCGTCCGAACTTTCCAGATTTTCACCATGCTGACAGTGTAGAGACTCTTGAAGCAGTGAGTGCCGTGGAAGACTCGAAAATGGTGAAGGAGTGCCTGACATATGTCTGTTAAATGTGTTTCAACCTCAATAAATACGGAGTCAGACCACTGAACATCCAAAAGACGCAGAGAGTAACTCCAAACTCTATATTCACAATAACTTGTCCTGTGCACAGTCAGAGCAATGCTATGGCTTGCTTCTAATGAATAGCTGGATAAAAGTGAAAACTTCACGTGTGATAAGGCATATGGGGCTATGCAATTGCTCAAAAACAACTGTATCACTCATGCTAAGGCTAAGGCTCTGCAAAATCTATACGCAGCTGCATTTTGAAGTGCACGATGTCACCTCTGAACCATACTTAAAAGAGACACCAAACCGCCTTTAAGTTTTCACAGAAATGCAACAATTGAGGTTATATGCCTCGGAACATGGCGTATGACGGGAGGCCGCCGAAACCAGGTCTCTTTACAATTAGCTACCCCCGACCAAGGGATGCCATGGCCACTACTTATACGACTACAAATAACCAGAATTATCTAGGCAAAGTTTCCGTACCAACCACTAATTACTTGCTGACTCGTACCAACTCCAGAATGTTCGCACATACAATTGATAAGCTTTTAGTACTCTCCTTTTCCGTTTTTTTAGCTCTCCGTCCACGAAATTTCACACCAGCAACCATGGCAAGTACTGTATCTAAATGCCTTAAGTGGGGACCCCATAAACAATCTACCACGCTTTGAATGCGTCCAATGCACTATCATCTTGAACAGATTGAAGTGTAACTCTTGCACAACAGTCTATTGATTCGTTCTCAAACCGACCGATTCTTGAACCATGTGCAGTCCTCCTTATCTCATCTTTCTGCTCCACTGATTTAATTACTTCACGTACGTTATCTGTCTGTTTGTTCGGATATTTCCTCAGTTTACATTACTGTATTATTATTACTGTCATTACCTCGCTTTTGACTATACTGACAGATAACCTGATGGAAGGACTATTTCGAGGTTCTCACATACAAAATACAACAAACCAAATGTAATCAACCTCTTCACTACACTCCTCAATGTCTGTCAAAGCTACGGTGGGTTTGTCAGGAATGAAAGGAAAAATGGGAGCCGTTGCTTCACTACCAAGGAATAAGCCAGAAAATACCAGTTTTACTTAGAAATGATATTGAATAATAAATATAGGTCACTTGGATATTGGATATAGGTCACTTAAGGCATTGGTTGCTAATGCGTTGTTTGGCGCGAGACTGTTGGGGACGTTACGTTTGATTTTGAAGATTAGTCGGTTGGAAGTTAGCAGGTTCGAATGGAGTTCTCAGACATAGTAAATGTTTCAAATGGTTTGGTTGTCCTGTCTCCCAACGGCTTGTACATATCGTCTGCTTCCCAACACAAAGTTTTTATCCGGATAGTTAACACATTACAAACTTTTCAAATATACAGTTGCGTGGATATAGTCACTGGCTTGGTGTGGTCTGCAGACTCCTTGTTTATTCTTAGTATTCTAAAGGGCCGTAACATAGTTCAGGTACCTTATTGTGATCAGTAATTTACGATTTTAGATATTCTGCCTTGAAAACCCAGAGTGGACTTGTAAAGTTGATGAAGGTTCTGCTGGTCTTCTTAGCGCTGCATGGGCTCCAGATAGCAGACACTTTTTAACGACAACCGACTTTCATCTACGGATAACCATTTGGTCAGTATCGGAAGGTTCAGTTTCATATTTAAAACTTCCGAAAGTGAGTCTACAATTTATTCTTAAGATTGATGCTTACTCTAACATCACGTAATTTCTCGTCTTCGAATGGTGCTACTTAGTCGAGTCAAATAGTGGTAGTAGTCAGTTATGTAGATGTATAGAGGTTTATAATGAAACATCAAATACTAAAGGGTATGCACTGTTTAATTCCTTCGCCAGACATATCCATTTTAGTAGAGCTCTTTTAAGACAAAAAAAATTATGAAGTGTTGACACCTCCGGAATTGATTTATGTATTGGAGCTGCCACTTGTCGAGAAAGTTACGTTCCTGGATGTAATAAATTAACTCCTCTTGCAAATTTAGGCCTAATTTGTACCATTGTAGAAAGAATTTAAATAATTAAGTGGAGCTTGCAAGCTTAATGTTAATCTTTGTGCTTGGTTAAGAGCCACACAATGTATGCACTTTTGTGGAATGTGTCACATTGAATTGCTGCATTCTTGTGCAAAGTTCTACCTTGAAACTTCGATTAATCATCTTACTTAATTTAAAGCAGGATGGGTTTAAAGTCGCGACTCATCTGTCGAACTTATACGTTTTGAAAAACGTTTTCGTATGGTTTACAATGTTGGGTTTGATGAAGTAGCTACTAACTTGGGAAGTACCCCTCAACTCTCACTTCTCTAAATATATAGTGTTTTATGGCATTTGATAAAGTTTATTGGAATGGCAATAAAGGTATTATTAACACGTTGTGTGAGATATCTTTGTCCTCTCAGTCCCGAATTAAGTGAACCTTAGCTTATTTGTCCTTTGCATCTAAACATATCATATGATCCTTTTATAAAAAAGTTATTTCAAACGTCGTTTTTGTGGATACTGTTGTTGAGTGGTCATTGGATTCAGTAATCAAAACCTATTGGTGGGGTTCTACTTTTCCCAAACTTTTTAGATCTGTTGTAAACAATCCTATAAATTTTATTTTTGGGCAGCAGTAATTTTTCGTTGATCCCACTCCATATCATTAAATAAACTTTTGGACGACTGGCTTAACAGGATGATGCACCCTCATTATTCACACGTCTGAATACCGTCTCACTCTGCTTAAAGGTTTTAAAACTCAGAATAGAGTCTAATTTTTCACGTGAAGAATGCAAACGAGGTCGAGAAACAGCTACTATATAAGGTCTATCACAATCAATTTCCCTGTTTTCGATATCATATGCTCAAGTATTATTAAGAAACAAGTTTCCTTCAGGAGTTTAGAAAAGGCCACTTACCCTCGTAGGCACTTTCGTGTGTTTTACTGCTAAACAATCAGTGACCTGTCTCATCCCTATCTATCAGTTAACACATTGTTTACACTGCGTTTACTTATTATGTGCAATTTACTTAGGCATGTGCAAGCAATTTGGCTTTTTGCCCTGGTGGCCGGTACTTAGCTTTGCTCGAACGTCGAGATCTAAAAGACCATTTGAGTCTGTTTGACTGTCGACCTCAATGGACCTTAGTTTGGAACATAATTCTGGATACTGATGATGCTGTGAATATTGTATGGTCTCCAGATGGACGTTATATTCTTATATGTGATAACTGCCTTTATTACAGAGCAGCTATATACAACCTCCTTGGAAAACATCTGTGTACATATTGTGCCTATAAACCAGATGAAGCGCCTCTTGGCATAAAATCAGTGTCATGGTCTCCTACTGGGCAGTTGCTGGCGTTAGGAAGGTAAATTTCTCTTCTTACCTTTTTTATTCATTTTAATCGTTCACTGTTTTTAAATCCCATAGGTACCTATTGTTTTGTATACAAAACGTGGCCATTCAGCTCGTTCAGTATCCTTTTCAGTTCACATATACATGACAGTCACTCATCCTTTATTCTTTCTATACATTATGATACATTTTATCATAAAGTAATCAGGGTTTTCAAAGGTACCTACCCAGGACCATTCATCTGTCACTTTCAGCTCTCAAATCCTATTCTACCTTTTCGTTCACCTGCAGACTATGTTACTAAGTTGGAATTCTCCTCTACGAACAAACTTCGGTTCATTCAAGTTTTATTGGACAAAACAATATATTATGCAGTAGTAAATACTTAAAGCCAGATGTTCTAAATCGTTATCACTTATGAATCACCCTGAAAGTCTTGAAGTTGTAACTTCTTTATTTAAAACAAACTCCGCACAGCAAGGGTGCTAAAAACCTTTACAAGTGATTTAGGGGAAAATTATATATATATATATATATATATATATATACCTGTTTAGTTATACCGGTTGCAAAGTTGTTAGAAAGTTTAAGTTATACTGGAATAATGGTGTTGGCAAACCATAGACTAGATTAGTATCACTAATTCGCTCACAAAGTCCAAACATAGAGGAACAATTAAGCAGTTAAACGCATTTAAAAGTTTTCAATTTAATCCACTTCCTTTGTTTGCTGAGGAATTCGTCTGCGTGTTTTTTATAAACGAAAACATATGGTGGATGAGTATATCTAAAATAACCGTCTCTCTACCATTAGTTATTTTTTGTTTCATCTGGGCTTTGTCTGTGCCGGTATACTCACTCGTAATATCTTATTAATGTGGACGGATAAGAACTACATAAATCTCATATTATTACCACTCTCCTTCTTTGATTTTAGAAAACTAAGTCATATATAAAAAAGGTGACATACCAGCTTATACAATTTTTTTGGTGTAGAATTTTAGGATATAATCTTCAAGATGCTGTGGATCTGCTTCTCGTGTTTGTTCGCATTTATCAGCATGCTATACGCGCAACCTTATTATTATTCTTTCCTTTAATTCCTAGAGGAACATAGAACTTCACCTGCGCTTCTCCATTGCCTTCTGTTTTCTGCCAACGTTTTCACCCCGCTCGAAGTCTCCCCACATGCTTTCATCTCCACTTCACATGACCTCCTCCAAGTCACCCTCACACTGTCGACCAACTCGCCGCTTCCCTTTCGGGTTCCACTCGAGCGATGGCTTGTCTAGTGATGTCACTTGATGGTTTCCTCAGAGTATGGCCAGTTCACCTCCATTTCTTCCTGCCTATTTGTTTCACAATCGGTTCCTGCTGTGTTGGTTCGCTCCCAGAGATCCCTGTTGCTGATCTTTTCTGGCTGGCTATCTGATCTTGCGTATTGAACGAAGGCATCTGGTAAGGAAGCGTTCTTCATGACGCGCCAAGTCTCTGATCTGTATAGTAGCACGGTCATCACACTAGAGTTGAAAACCCGTATCTTATTTTCATTTTCATGCTGAGTGGGGCTGTTGACCTGCACACAGACTTGAGAGTAATGAAAGCTTGTCTTGCTTTTCCAATTCTTGCTTTGATATCCTCGTAAGTTCCGTCCACCTGTAGTTGAAAGGATGCTTCCCAGGTAGGTAAGGGAGGTTGTTTCTTTCAGGGTTCTCCCGTCTATCCTAGCTGATTGTTGTCTGTTGTTGCTGTTGGTGTTGGCCAGGAATCTTCATCATCTACCTCTGTTTTCTCTATGTTCACCTGAAGTCCTATCTTCTCTGGATGCTTCTTCTTCCAACTTGTTGTTTTTTACTTGCATATCTTCTAGTTTGTAGGAAATCAGACATATATCGTCGGCGAAGTCCAGATCCTCCAAGTTTTTCGTGTGAGTCCATTTTATGCCTGTCTCCTCGTTGCGTTGCCCGTTGTCTGTCGCATTATCCAATCTACTACAATCAGGAAAATCATTGGCGATAGCAGACAGCCAGCTTGCCTCACTCCCGTCCTCACTTCGAAGGATTCCGTAAGTTTCCCGTTGTGGATTACTTGGCATCCAGCATTGTCGTACAACTGTTGGATGAGATGTATAATTGTCCATAGCACCCCGTAGTAGCGAAGTAGTTGCCAAATCACCTCTCGATCGACGCTGTCGAAGGCCTTTTCAAAGTCGATGAAGTTAAGATAGAGAGGTGACCGCCATTTTAAGCTTTGTTCAATGATGATCCGTAGTGTGGTGATTTGATCAACACATGACTTGTTTCTCCTGAATCCAGCCTGTTCCGGTCGAAGTTTTTCATCCAGGGCTTGTTTGATTCTCTCCAGGGTGATGTGGCTTAGTATTTTGCATGGGATGGACAGGAGCATAATTCCGCGCCAGTTTTTGCATTGACTTAAGTCTCCTTTCTTTGGTAGTTTGAATAAGTATCCTTTCTTCCAATCCTCAGGTACTTTGCCCTCTTTCCACACCTTTTCCAGCAATGGCGTCATCAAGTCCGCTGTTGTCTCTGGGTCCACTTTCAATGCTTCTGCTGGGATTCCATCTGGTCCTGCTGCTTTTCCAGCTTTAAGCATCTTGATTGCATTCAGGACTTCTGATTTCGTCGGGGGGTCAGTGTTCACTGGTAGTTCTGCTTCCGTTGTTGGTGTTTATTCAGATCCATATATATGCATAGATAGAAGTCTTTCGTTACTGATTTATGCCCTCATATAATTCGACCGTGTTTCATTTCCTTATATCAAGGAAGAATAGAATGACATACAGTTATGTCAAATTCTTAACTGAGAAATAGATATATGACTACAGTACTTCTGTACAAACTATTATTAGTTATAATTAAACTTACTGCCTTGTCATATGTCCCTGTTTTTCTTTTAGTTCGCTTTCATTACAAATTAACAAGAAACTACAGTAGAATATAGTGAATAATTTCGCTTAGAAAGCTGCAGCAAGATAATTGTAGAAGTCGACGTAAACCTCTTATTTTTATTTTGTTTGTAACCTTACTAGCGGGTGTATAAACTCTATATTCTTCTTTTATTTCCTTTCAAGTTACGATCAGAAATGTCGCCTACTAAACGATTTTAATTGGACTTGTTTTGCTTGTTTAAAGCATCCTGTTAATAAACCAATTGATCCTTCCTTAGGACTTAGTCCAACTGGTCGTCCTATACAAGTTGGTGAGAATTCAACAGCATTTTCATCGCACCGTATTGATATCTATGAAGAATGTCGTTCAAAAGATTCTACAGACCCACTCATGAATTCTGAAATTATTTCAGAATCATATACTGTTCGATATAAACTGATAAATAATTCAGTTACTATCAAGTCAAAAAAGCCTGACCGTAATCAACCATTTCCTAAAGTAAGTGATGATTGAGTCAGTCTGTTTCAGATTTTGAATCATCAGCATAATGTTTTGGATGGTTTATTTGTTTGCACATGTTACACTTGAGGCTAACATTTGTAGTTCACTGCTATATCAGGAACTAATCGTGTTTTCATAAACTTTTAACCGGTAAACCAGCTATTCTGTCTCTTAGTTACTCAAACCCAACCTGTGTATACAAAAAAACTGTGATTAATCTCAGTTTATTCTGGTACATTACTACCAGAGATGTATTGAGACTGCTTGTAAGACTTAAAGGAAGTCATTTGTCAAAGTGTCTTATTTGATCATTCAATATAGATTTCCCCCAAACTGACCATTCTTTTTTTATCATTAGCAGATTCAGAAGAGAAATTGTCTATTTTTCCTGTGAAAAATAAATTTGATGACTTGAGTAATATCTTTTAATGATTTGCACATCTATTATCACATACATAGTGCATGGAAACTGTATATTGCGAAGATAAAAACTGTACTTCTTTGTTTTAAATTCAGCTGTTTCCGGAACATGTCTTAAGACAGTTGCCATCCCATGGGCTCCTAGGATGATTCCGTGACCATATCATTGTGCTGTTTGTATACCAGGTCATTGAATATTCACTAAACACTAAAATTACTCCTAAATAGTAGTTCTTTCAGTCGTGAATTCGATACTCCATAATTGAGGTTGTTATTTTCTATATATTTGCTAAGCTAGTGGTTTGTTCAAAGCGTAACATTTATGAAAAGTAATTCAGTACCAAGAGCCTGTAAATAGAATGTCTAAATATCGTCTCCATGGCATTTTGTAGTCCTCCAACTGCGATGTCAAGTTACCTTACTAGTTTTGCTGGTAGTTGTTTTTTTGCTGTTACCTGTATTAATGTTAGATTATATGTATATTGTACTTTAATTCTTCAAGTTATACAATAATTAATACAATACAAACGGTCACTAAGGTATTTTGATACTTTCAAATTAAGACTTTTGCCTGTTATTTATTTTATTCTAATGACGATTAGGTTTGGTTTATATTTGCTGATAGAATTAACAACCAGTTAACTTGAGAATTTTTCATAAAATGTGATAATAATTAATTTTTCCTTCACGTTCCCAGTGGAACATAGGGCTTCAAGCTAGTGGCTTGAAGTTTCTGTAGCAGTGTTTATTTTACAGGATGGGGTTACCGGTCTCATGCCCAACCTTTCCTCTTTACCAGCATTATTTCTGGCTTAGCGAGGTAAAGGAGTTCATCAGTCTGGAATCGAACCCCGGACCATGTGCACGGTTGGCGAGCGTCCTAACCACTGTGCCACCGACGCATATAAAATGTGATAGAAGTGTGAAATCATGATGGAATCAGGTTTCAGCTGTTGTTGCATTAAAAGTGAATAAAATATTTGAAAAAGTTACATAGTGAAAATTAGCAGCATTCATTGACAAATTTTTCATTCTAATATATATGTATACTTCTTCGTCTATTATTTTAGATAGGCATTGGATTGACAGAATTTTCACCAGACGGTCGATATTTAGCTACACGAAATGATAATTGTTCGAACGTGATCTGGATTTGGTCAATCGACATAAATTTAAGTTTATGTAGCCTTTTAATTCATACTAGCGGTGATGTTTCCTCATTGGTGTGGGATCCAAATTGCTCAGGTAGACTAGCTCTATGTACGGATTCCGATACTGTATTTTTGTGGACACCTCAAGGATGCCTTGCTATTCAGGTAAGATGGTTTTCTTAATAGAATAAATCAATGTTTAATTTCCTTTCTTGATTATGAACTGTATTATTTAGTTATATTCAATAGAGATCCAAATTTCGAATACTAACATGTAATCAGTATTTCTATATGATTCAAAGATTTGGCACACCATCTAAAGTATTTCCAATAGAATTCAGACTTTTAACAACACTTGCCTCCATTTAACACTGAACATCAGCTAGCCGGAGAGAGTAAACGACGAGGAACTCCGACAAGTGGCAGATCAACTAAGAACCTATTGCACAACAGATATACAGAAAGAATTGGTGATAGATAGGATATAAGGGACCGTCGAGTCAAATGCTACAGAGAGCGGGCAGCGAGGAAACAGACATAAAATGGACACACAAGAAACTTATAGGATCTGGACTTCGCCGACGATATATGTCTGATTTCCCACAAACTAGAAGATGTGCAAGTAAAAAGCAACAAGTTAGCAGAAGATGAATCCGGAGGAAGACAGGACTTCAGGTGAACATAGAGAAAACAGAGGTAGATGATGAAGATTCCTGGCCAACAGCGACAGCAACAACAACAACAGACAGCAATCTGCATAAATGGGAGGAACCTGAAAGAACCAGCCTCCTTTATCTATCTGGGAAGCATATTTTCAACTACAGGTGCACGGAACTGACGAGAATATGAAAGCGCAAGGATCAGGACAGCAAGTCAAGCTTTCATTACTCTCAAATCTGTGTGGAGGTCAACAGAACTACTCAGCATCAAAAATAAGATCGTGATATTAAACTCCAATGTGAAGTCAGTGCTACTACATGGATCAGAAACTTGGCACGGCGTCATGGAGAACACTTCGAACGAACTACACACCTTTATCAACAGTTGTCTTCGCTCAATGTTCCACTCAGAATGCTAGTGATGAGTAATGATATAACAGTCATACAGATCAGATACAAATTTTAAAAGTGAAACAGTAGTAGTAGTATGAAATATAAAAATAAAAAGGTGAAACAATCAACCAAATTGGCAGATTTTAAAATGTATGAAGCACAAAGAACAAAATTAATAGTGCTATTTCCCCTAGTTTACTCTTTTAAGGATTTATATTGCCCGATTTCTTATGTTGAAGTTGTTAAAGTTTTCATTCTGATGTATTGAAATAGGAAAGCATACCACATAAATTACTAAGAGAAATTTATTGATATAAGTATAAAACTTGTGCACTGTGGTAGAATATAACTCCATTATAGATAAGATTTTATTTTCCACCATTAAATCGTCATGTTGGTTGGTGTAAATCACTCATTAAAAAGCAAAACATTAAGAAACCGAAATAACTAGTGAAAAAAGAGTATATATCCTAAATCATAGATAATAATGATGCACATTCCTTTTTAGTTTTCTTCATATAAGTCGTAGTCGTCTATTTGTCTTACCCCCTGCATGCACTGTACTCCTATTTTTCTTGCTTATCCTGATATGTTACTTTATGTCTGTCTCTTCACTGTTAACATATATAAAATTTTAAATAGATATACTTCAGCTTTCGTTGATTTTCTATCCTTTTCAGCTTATCATGCTCCTGTAACTTCTTGAAACACGTCTTGTTACTAATGTGGCATTCTTTAGGACTCACTGTTTAGTGTCGGTTTGTAGGTGGTATCGAAATTTATTCTTATTCTGTCACCTATAAGATAATGCGTGTACACAGGAGCTCAAACGTTAAAAGCATAATAACATATTTAAGTTTAATGTATGGTTGACTAATTCACGCATTTCTCTTTGTGTTCTTCTTTTCAAATATATATATAGAGTCCAGCACATTTTAATTTTACTATCTCATCACTTTGTTGGCTTCCTTCCGGAGATGGAATTCTTCTCAAATCAAAGAACGAATTTTGTTTGTGCTATTTAAATTCTGATGATGGTGATGATGATGACGGCAATAATGATAATAAAGTTAAAAAACATAATTCCATATGGAAATCATCGCAACTGCATGCATCAAATAGTGAATTACACAGAAATGTTGTAGTGAGAAGAAATTCAAAGTGTGTTGTACCTAATCATTGTTCACCGTCTATAAAACTTCATGGCAATGATGTTCATGGATGACGATGTCCTATTTCTCATCAGTTTGTTGAGGAGGATACTCCAAATTGGTTAAAACACCCATGGCAAGCTTCCAAAATTACCGGTGAAAATGGAAAAGTCTATTACAGCATCATAGAAACTTATTTTATAAATAAACGATTGGAATTCACTTTCTTCTGTTCTTTCCGTTTTGTCATACAGTCACCAGTTTTGGTTGTTGCCATCTTTAAATGTATGACTATGTAGAGGTTTCGTGTGCATTTCGGAATGTGAGGACGATTGTTACTTCCCGGCTGCCCACACCGTGGAAATTGGTTACGTGACCGCAGAGCCCAGGGGACAACTGCTTGAGGCCGGTCACACACGGTCTGTTTTTGTTTGTTTTTTATTGTTTGGTATGTCTCAGTAGCATATTTATCACTTCTGCCCTGTGCCCGGCCGATAACTGCTACCTTGTTCGTGGTGGTCGGGCTTGAATACCGCAATGACCCAACATGCCAAACTGACTGAGACTCTGTCCCTGCAGGTCCTACCATGTCAGGAAGGTTGTTTGGATAGCGGTTAAACTAAAAGCAGTTACCATGGGGTACATGGGCTCCAGTATCCAATCGGATCAAATGGCGTATGAACCCATATGGGTCACCGGAAACCATGGGAATGCAGCTCCTGACGCTGCTCCGCTGCCTTGCAGATTAGACTCCAAGTCAGAGGCTCGGGGGTGATCCCTTAATAAAACCACCTGCTTCTGTCTGGGCACCCGGGCAGTATCTCAGCCCTCACACAATGAATTGAATGAAGCAACAAACAATCAATGAAACTTATCGCGTGCTATTACACGTGTTGCAATTTCCTTCTTTCTTCCCTTTCCGATGATAGTTAACGAATACTGTTTGAACTTGTTAAGCATGACTGTTTTCCTTCCAGATGAAGTTACTTATCCGTTCTTTATTCATATACGTATTTTTTTCTTTTGATCTATGTTGTTTTATTATTATTGTGTGGCGCATCCTTCTTGGTGCCATATTGTACCAAGTTTATATGCGTTTAAATAAATAAATAAATCTGCCCTGTGACAAGGCAGCAGGAAGTGCGGTCGTTGTTAATCCGAGCCCTGACCGATCCGGCATGATATTTTGTGAGTTTGTTTGTATCATAGTGTAACAACAGAAGACAAGGGCCAGGCAACAGATCGTTTTATTATGAAAATCAACACGTATTTATACATATTTCAACTACATTATTATAGACAAGCGCAGTCATCTGATTGGTTGTTTATCAGAAGTTAGGCAGACAAACGCAGGCTTCTGATTGGTTGTTTCGGGATTCCTTGACAAATAGAGTTCTCTATCTGCGAATCATATTTTGCCACGTTAACTTTGCTGTGATTGGTTGTTGACTCAGCCTTGTTCATATTTTCTCACGGCCCATATTAGTGACCTAGACCTTAACGTAGATTAGTGCCAACCAATCGGCTAGCAGCCTGCTCTCACCACACTCGTCCCCCCGTCAAATAGCTTCGTGCGCAGACGTTCCGACCTTCTGGGTGCTACATCCTCTAGTTGAGGATTGTTACTGACCGGCTTGTCCCACTGTACCCATCTTTGGAGCTGACTGGCGTTAACTCGTTTCTGTTTATCACCTCTTCGGATGGTATATACTTGACCCCGTCTTTTTGTGATTGTGTATGGTCCTTCCCACTTTGGAAGGAGTTTCCGTGAACCTAGCCCGCCTCCAACTGTATATCTCCTGTCTCTACACTTCACTTGGTCCCCGACTGCAAAGGTAATGCACTGCGTCCTTTCTTTCATCTGAGACTTCGTGACATCACTGCGCTGCTTCCGTATTACATTCTTGACTGCCTCTTTCCTCTCTGCTTTTAATTTCGTCGTACTCCACTTTTGGTGCATGGGCCAGGTCTCATTGTGTACCGGTAATCGTGGTTTTCTACCATACATCAGTTGGAAGGGTGACTTCTTCGTTGTTTCCTGAGTGGTAGCCCGATGTGTTAGTAAAATCAGTGGAAGCTCCGTTTCCCAGTTCCCGCCCTTCGAGGCCAGCCACTCCTTCAGTGTACGGTTGTTTCTCTCCGTTAGGCCATTCGTTTGTGGATGGTATGGGGTCGTTCTGATCCTCTTGATGCCCAGCTGTTGCAAACGGGAAGTAAACTCTTCACTCTCGAAACAGGGACCTTGGTCTGTCAGTATTGTCTTCGGTACGCCGTGGTCTGCAACAATGTGTCTAACTACTGCATCTGTCACGGTTCTTGCACGTTGGTCTGGGATTGCTACGGCGTCTACCCATCGTGTCGCGTGTTCCGTCATCACCAAGAGGTACTGATTACCATTGGATGTCTGAGGAAATGGACCCATGACATCTACGGACCACAAGTCACCTATCGCGGTAACTGGAATCGACTGAAGTGGTGGTCGTATACACCGGTCACCTTTCATCAGCTGGCACCGTGGACATCCAAGTACGTATCTTGCTACGTCTTCTCTCATACCTGGCCAGTACATACTTTGTCTTAGGAGGTCGGTCGTTCTGGCCACGCCTGTATGCGCTAGCTGGTGACATTCTTCTATCATGTCGTGGCGCGACGATTGAGGTATGACAGCCAGCCAGCTTCCGTCGTTCTCTCGCCAGGTCAGAGTCCCGTAGGCATTCACTCTGAGTCGATCCCTCTGTCTGAGTAGTGTGGTTAGCTCCTTACTCGCCGTAGTTTGATCCACTTCTATTCCGTTGGTGATCACCTGTATTACTGTATTCAGCGTATCGTCCAACCTCTGCCTACGTGCAAGTCTTAGTGGGTCTTGTTCTACTGCATGCACTCCGTAAGCGACCTCGGGCAACTCAGACTCATCTTCTGGTCTCGATAACAAATCTGCCAAGACATTTTCACTTCCAGGAACGTGTGAGATCGTAAAATCGTACTCCTGAAGACGCAACATCCACCGTGACAACTTCCCCCGTGGGTCTCTCGCTGTCTTCAAAAATTGTAGCGGCTTATGATCAGTTTCGATGTGGAACCGCCGGCCGAGTAAATAAGGTCTCCATTTGTCGACTGCCCATACCATTGCTAAACATTCTTTCTCTATCGTTGAATACTTTCTCTCTGCGAGTGTCAAAACCCTACTGGCATACTCAACGATTCCCTCGTCCTGTCTTAGGACCGCACCTATAGCGTAGTCACTGGCATCTGTGCACACTGTGAACTGTCTTCCTGGCACAGGTAGTTTTAGCGTCATTTGTTGGTGGTCGAGCAGCTGTTTAATTCTGTCGAATGTCCTCTGCGATTCTTCCGACCAAACAAACTTTGGCTCACCTAGTAGCCTGTATAGAGGGGCTGCTATCTCATTGAAGTTCTTCACGAAGCGGCTATAAAACGCTGCTCTACCCAAGAATTGTCTCAGTTTTCTCTTTGAATTCGGGGCTGGAATCGTTTTAATCGTCAAAATTTTCTCCGGCAGTGGTTTAATCTCACCATTTCCCACTTTATGTCCCAACAGAGTAACATTCTTTTTGGCTATCTGGGACTTGGTTTTGTTGACGCGTAGTCCAAACTCTTCGATGCGTCGCAGCACGGCTTCTACATGGTTGACGTGATCGTTTTCGTTTTGACTGTATATGACGAGATCATCACCATAAACCTCCACGTTTTTCAAGTTCCTAAGTAATAGCTTCATCAGTCGTCTGAACGTAAACGGTGCACCTGCTAGTCCAAACGGCATGCGTTTAAATCGATATTGTGTCTGACCCACGATGAAAGCCGTCTTATCTCTATCACCTTGTTTTATCGGTATCTGCCAGTATCCTGAGCGAAGATCGAGAACCGAAAACACATTCGCACCTTGTAGGCGATCTAAAGTTTCTACCACTGTTGGCATGGCACACGGTCTTAACTCTGTCATACTGTTTAACTGTCGAAAATCAACACAGAATCTATACTTCCCATTCGCTTTTTTTACTAACAGCACTGGAGAGTTGTACGGGCTATCAGCTTCCTCAATAATGTCATCTTTTAACATCTCTTGCACTTGTCGCTCCACTTCGCCTTCCAGATGACATGGAACTCTTCGCGTTGTAAATGACCTTACTTTCGGATCACTTAACGGAATTTCATGATTCACCTTATCGCAATAACCGTATGGGTCGCCATCTCCAGTGAACAGATGATCGTATTTATTAATTAACTCTGTCACATTGTGTACCGTCGACAGCTTAATCGCTGCTATCTCGCTGGTCTCATACATGTTGATATGCCCGTATTTCGTGACCACCACGTTCGCTTGCGTGTCGATTATGGCACCAATCTCACGCAGAAAATCCGCTCCTAATATCGTTCGCTGTAGTTCGGGTACAACAATGAAAGGAAACGTCACCTCGCAGCCACCAACAACGACCGTACAGTTCGATCTACCCGTGATACGCAACACATACCCGCCTACTGTTTGTACTGTCAATGAACACGGGCTAACACTCTTACATAAATTCTTATCTATTAACGACACGGCCGCCCCTGTATCTATCAAACATACTACTTCTCGATCATTCACTCGCAACTTCGAATACAGAGCGCCTTTCTCAATAGCCCCCACTAAATCTAGGTTCATACGAAAGAAAGAACAAGCATTATACCGTCTGAAATTTTTTCTTTTTCGCCTTTCTGGGCAGTATCTTCTCCAGTGTCCCGGCTTACCGCATTCAAAACACCGGTCTTTTCTATCAGCCAACTTTAACGCCGCCACTTCCCGCTGCAATGCTTCAATTTTCTGCTCATATTCGTTTGGTTTTGGTTGGTCTATAGCGGCTACCGTTGTGCTCAGCAGCTGTCTGGTCACCTTCGCCAGCTCACTAATATCCATCGGCTGCGTTGCGTTAACCAGTTGTAATCGCTGAGAAATGTGGTCTGGGACACTCTCGATGAATTGGGAAGACAGTAACTGCGCTTCTGATTCTTCATCTAAAGTGGGAAGCGCGCGTCGAAGTAGATTAGTCAGTTTCACCGCCAACACTAGCGGGTCTCCATCAGGTCCAAGCTTCATTGACCGGAACTGCTGCATTGCTAGCTGTCTGTCTGTTTCGCTGTCAAACTCGGACACTAGTCGTTCAACCAATTTCTTCCAAGACGCTGTGCCATTTGACCTGTCTACGCTGTCATATGCAGCCTTCGCTCGGCCTCTCAACAGCGTCCCCAGGACAACTGCCTTCGCCGCCTGCTCCTTGACACCCACCAGCTCAGCAACGGCCTCGAAGTCACGTAAGAAGCTCCGTATGTCTCCTTCTTCAAACGCAGCTGGCCACGGGATCTTCATCTTTTTGGAGGCAGCGACACCAAATGTAACAACAGAAGACAAGGGCCAGGCAACAGATCGTTTTATTATGAAAATCAACACGTATTTATACATATTTCAAATACATTATTATAGACAAGCGCAGTCATCTGATTGGTTGTTTATCAGAAGTTAGGCAGACAAACGCAGGCTTCTGATTGGTTGTTTCGGGATTCCTTGACAAATAGAGTTCTCTATCTGCGAATCATATTTTGCCACGTTAACTTTGCTGTGATTGGTTGTTGACTCAGCCTTGTTCATATTTTCTCACGGCCCATATTAGTGACCTAGACATTAACGTAGATTAGTGCCAACCAATCGGCTAGCAGCCCTGACCGATCCGGCATGATATTTTGTGAGTTTGTTTGTATCATAGTACTGGATTGGGTGGCTGCTTTTTGTCTAACCGCTATCCAAACAACCTTTCTGGCATGGTAGGACCTCAAGAGACATAAGTCCCAGCCAGTATAGCTTGATGGGACATTGCGGTGTTCAAGCCCGACCACCACGTCAGGGGTAGCAGCTTTCCGTCGGGCTATGTAGAAGAATACACTTAATGTCTCTTAGTTTTAACTATACTCATTTGTATATTACTTGTGGAAGTGCCTAATTGCCTTTAATCGTAGTTTCTTAGCAGTGTTTTCTAATACTCGTTAGTCGCATAATAAATCGCAGACGTTATATTCACCTTGGGATATGTAATCTTTGTAAACATATTTTTTTACGTTAGCTGAACAACTAGTTGTTTTTTTCTAAATATACTCCTTTTTAATTGTGTTGCTTTGAGCAATGATATGTAGTATGCAAATAGTGTGGTACTATAAAGGTTCTTGACTTTTCGCTTAACCTTTCATCAATCGAAATATAAGATAACGGTCAGTAATGTGAATTTAATGTAATATCCTTAACCATTAGTAAACGAAGTATTGCGTATTTTTTCAGTCTAAGTGTAACAGTCATATAAGGCCAGAACAAAGAATGTCGCATATCTCCTCATTGATGTAAGTCAATAGGTTATGACTTCGGTGTATTTCTTAGTGAGCAAATTAACAGAAATTTTCTTAGTTCCTAAGTCGGAATCAGCTAAAAATAGTAATCATCTGATGACTCATCGTGTGATCGGATGACTGTAAAATTTAAATCATCTTTTTCTCACCTTGGTCTTGATCAAATCGCCAACCAGCCAGAATATTTTTTTCTCATGCTTTAGCCGAATCGCCATTTGAATTCGATCAGTTTCCACTGTCCTGGGCAGATTTTAATGTGGTAAAAATTACATCTAAATATGACGTGATTTTCCTAATAAAATTGTATCCTAATAATCACAGGTGTCAGTCTTTGTCTTTCAACATTTACATGGTTCACAGGTGAGTAGAAGGTACCATGGATGAATAGGTTTATCCAGCATATCAGTTGAGTTGTTCATTGCGTTAGTATTATTATACCCGCCCATAAGTCCACTTGGTCATATCAGTTTGTCGACGAGAGATCATATCAATTGACGACCAACTTAAAATCCTTGACAAATGGACATCATTTTATATTGTCACACGTAGCATGAGTACACAAAAGTGAATTGATAAAAAGTTTAACTGTACTGCAATAAGCACATGTGAAAATGAAAGCATTAAAATAAAATGATTCGCCAGGTATTCATGAGATGTATAAATTACTTTGAACTATTGTTAGGTCTAATTTTTTCGTAGCACTAGGATTATACAATAATGGACGAGAATATTTAGTCTCTGTGGTGTTGTATTCCAACAGTTTAGAACCTGACTTCCAAACAATGGACTACGGGATGAAAATCCGCTCCACCTACCGTGGTTTGAACATTCATATGACATCACCAACCTTCATAAATTTGTGTGGCTCGTTACCATGGAAATGCAAATGGTTGTTTAGTACCATTTGATTTTACATTCAGTTGTTATCCCACGATTTTATAGAATTTTTATGGATACCGATTTCAAAATGGTGCTCAAGTACACATATACTCTTAAGCTATTGTCTTCCAACATCTCTACTGTCAGTATATCACAATTACTATAACTAGTTATAATGAGATAATGTCAATAACATTTTGGAAGTAATAAGAGGTACTATTATAAATACTTTTAGACTACCGGTTGGATTATTGATTAACTGAGTCTCAGTGTAATTCACCGCGTTTTGAGGATAGAAACTGAAGTAGTCGAGTGTGTAAAACACTTATTTATAAGTTGCATATATACCCTGGTGTAATCGACTGCCAACATTATTTCAGTACATAGCCGTGAGAAGTAGTGCGACAGCTTTCAGGTTGCATCATCAGTGTAAATATGTAGTTATGTGACAGCAGTCCTCTCTGTCCTACTTTACAATTCTTAAACATGGTAAGTTTTCGATCATAGATGCCTGTTTAACACTGACTTTCAATGACGACCTTGACGTGAAACTCAGAATTCTAGAGAGAGAAGACATATCATATACTGGCTGAGATGGCTATCCATTACATTCATTTAGGAACCATTTTATTGGAACTAGTATTAAGCTGAAATTAAATTAAAGGTGATCAGATTTGAATATTATAGCAGTTTGTAAAGTTACTGAGTATTGGTGTATTATCCAATCTAACTTGTCAATCTTAATAATATAGGCTTTGAACACATGATACATACCCAGTCGAAGAATGCACCTAGTCAATGTGGGCTAAACGGGCAATTTTGATCGACGAAGACGCGGGCAAAAGGTGGGTAAAATGCTATGTAATTTACCTGCTTTATCCATATTGACCACATTTTCCCCGTGTGCTCATATCCCGAAAAAATTTGCTCGTCTCAGTTTACTCACACGACTCACGTTTTCACCCATTTGTCTCATGTGCAGAAAGTCAAAAATTACCCTCTTTTTCCCACTTCACTCATGTCATTTTCTAAAATGGCCGACTTTGCCCAATTTCGAACGGGAAACTGTCAACGTTTTTACTCACATATCCCAGGTAAAAAAAATTCTCCGACTGGGTAGTTCTCTGCGTAATTTCCTACAAAGTATTTATTCCCCATATAGAGTCTTGAAGCAAATATCCGTTGACAGTATATCATGTGACGCAAAATCATCCTATCTGAAACAAGACTTATTCTTCTACCGCAATTTTTCCTTCATTTCTATTTTGAAGTGCACTACATTAGTTTGGAAGCCAATTGAAAATCCCTCTGAGCTCATGTCGTGACCCAACGGCATAATTAGAAAATTAAAACAACAAATGGAGGAAAGTATGTGCGTTGAGCTAGATGAAAATCTTTGTAGCTCAGTGGCTTAAGCAGACAGCCATAGACTTTTGCGGGAAACTAAGAGCCAATGTTTGGAAACTCCTGATAAAATTGTTCACTGTGGTGCAGATGTATTGATTCCATATCACCTTTCAAATTTGGACTATTTCTCTTTAACTTGCCTTTCTCACATAGACATTTGTACATTTCATTTATGTTGTTCTTTTTGATCACTGATTAAAATCATTTCAACTAAAAGTAATGGACTCCTGCACAATGTTTTACATTTTTATGTCTGTTCTAAACAAGGGAGCTTTTCACGAGAAACAACTATGTACATTAGTTTTTCGTGATTATCCAGCTAATTGCTTGAATGATGTCCTATCTGAATTGATCATATGGTTTAGTTTTCAGTTAAAACGTAAAGTAGTCCTAGTTGTTTCGTCCTAGTTCGAGACTCTTCATCAGTATGCACCCGCTGGGATTTGAACCTAGGACCTTCTGGTTACAAGGTGAGCTCGTAGGCCATTAAGCCACTGAGATCCTATCCAATGGCTCATGAATTGTAGCTTCTGCCAATTCATGACATAGCGCGACCACTTTTTATTTTTTTATATTTTTGATTACAGCTTGATTCCACACCGTATTTTTGGTACAAGTATGGAATTTTCAGCGTGGATATCGGTAGCCCAAAATTCGCAGGCCGACCATAGATATCAGGTGTGCGTCGGCGATAGCTCGAACCCCGGACCATGTGCATGGTCGGCGAGAGTCCTAACCACTGTACCACCGACGCACTTAGCAATGTCTTCTTCGATGAGTTACTGCCTCACCTTAAAACCTGCTGCACTGCCTACAGGTCACGCCTTCCTTTTCTGCAACTTTTTCTCTGGAGTCGCTCCAGAATTCTAAACATTTATTGTATCAATAACTGTAGATTCACTCTAATGAGGAAATACCTTTATTCAGTCTACTGGTAGGTCTAATATAAACTCATGGAGCTTCGTTTTATTTTATTTCAATGAAAGAATCAAGATTCTTTGACTGGACACTAGGTAGTAACTACTAATTTCATGCGTCTAGTCCTTGGTGTTGATGCAAACTGAATTCCATCAGTCAAATTTACGATGTGGCCAGGTGGCTGACCATGACAGTGCGCTCTGAATTGTTGTTAGATGGTTAGCATTAAATTGTCAGGCTATACTGTACTTAAACATACTGCTTGTTGTACACATTGTCTTTGGCACAAAAAACAGTTTTAAAAGTTGTGGACTTGGATAGCAAGTACACACCTGATCACAATCGTTGCACACTCATTGAACAAACTGTATATTAAATGGGTTTTTTGAACTATTTACCAAAACAAGAAAAAAAAGGAAAGTTCAAAAGCTCATCAGTTAGTAGTACAAGATAGTATTTTTACCTTTCCTTTGGAATTATTGAATGAGATATTGCTTATCCAAATATTCCCCCCCCCCGCAAAAAAGACAATTTTCGTTATTAATTTACTCCGAAATTTCAGCGATGGTTTTGAAAACTGTAACCTTACCAAAATCCTAATGCTATACAATTGCTAAGAAATAAATGATTGATATTAATATGACTTTAACTTCTTACCTTGAAATTATTTTGTTGTAACCTGCGCTCCTTTCTTTGAAGTTGGAATTCTTGTTGACTGCCTTCAGTTCAATGGTACATTTTAAAATAATAATAAATAATGGCTTTCTTCCAAAAATTATTTTTGAAAGAATGTGGGATTCTCAGCATGTAATATAAACCTACGGAACAATTTTTGCCTTGATTTAAAGGGAAGTTTAGTTTATGGTGTTTAACATATATCCTAGAAAATCGTACAAGTTAAAAAGTAACAATTAAATCAATAGTTTCCTCAGACTTATTCTTAATTTTCGTTTACATTAGAACAGGAAATAAAATTTCTTCAAATCTGTGTCATTGGAAGAATCAAAAGATTGCTTCTTGGATGTATTTGCTGAATATAAAGCTGAAATGAATAATACTTATTTCTCAGTGATTTCTCTTTGTTGAACTATTAGAAATGAATGCTTAAGTTACTGTAATGTCTAGGCATGGAACATTTTTCATCAGAGAGTCTGTAAAGAGAAAGCGTTTTTTGTGAAGAAATATTTTCTGAGAAATGTTTGGTTTGAAAGTGAGAGAATATGTGGTGAGAGCTGTCTGCTAGCCAAAATTGGTAGACACCAATTTATGTCAATGTTTACGCCCCAAATCTTGGTCATGAGAAAAACAAGAACAAAGACTTTGCGTGGGCGGATACGATTAGCAAATATATGGTCTGGCCTTCAAAGAAACGGCCACAAAGAGATGGCAGAAGAACTTTCAGTGATAAAACAACCAATCAGGAGACGCTGTTTCTCTGCTAATAGTAAAGAAGAAGAATGTGCATAAATATCTGTTGATTTTCCCAATAAATGATCTGTTGCTTGGCCCTTGTTTTCTGTTGTTACAAATATAACTTTCTTTTTAGGTAATTCAAATAAATTCTGAGATATGCAGGTGTTTCGTCCAATCAGTGGTTGAAAGCTGAAAC